ACATCATTAGCCATTAGAGAAATGTAAATTAAAACTAAAATAAGATATCACTACACACCCACCAGAATGGCTGAAATTAAAATAGAGATAGCACTGCCCTGGCCGGTGTGGCTCAGCAGTCAGAGCACTGGCCTGTGCACCAAAGGGTCTCGGCTTCCATTCTGGTCAGACAATCCATGTGCCTCTCTCACATCAGTGTTTCTCTTCTCCTCCTCATCATCGTTCTTCTTCTTCTTCTTCTTCTTCTTCTTCTTCTTCTTCTTCTTCTTCTTCTTCTTCTTCTTCTTCTTCCTCTTCCTCTTCTTCTTCTTCTTCCCCCCGCCCCACCCTTCCACTCTCTCTAAAAACATTTTAAAAACATATAAAATACAATGAAGTAAGGCAGGGCCCACCGCGTGCTGGCGAGGGCGCAGGGACGCGGCCCTCACACCGCTGGCAGGAGTGTGACGCGGGGCAGCCGCACTGGAAGCTTCTTCAAAACCTAAACCTGCGACCACCCCACAGCCCAGCAGTTACTCTCCTGAGCACCTGCCCAGAGAATGCGGGATTCGTGGTCACACAGAAGCCTACACATGAACGACGGCAGCTTAATTCCTAGCAGCCGACGCTGGAAGGAGCCGGTGCTGCACATCGGGGACCGCGACCCGCAGTACAAAGGAGCAAACCGGAGGCACCTCAGCAACCTGGCTGCCCGAGGAACTGGACTGGACAGGCCGGTCCCGGAAGATTACTTGTACGATTCCGTTTAAATTACACGTTTGAAATGACAAAATTATAGAAATGAAGACGGATTAAAGGTTGCCAGGGTTACGGGAGGAGCGGGACTGGGAGGCAAATGGCGTGGCCGCAAGGGACCAGCTGGGTCGCTGTGGTGACGGAAACCTCCGTCGGATGGTCAGTGTGGTGCCCAGGTTGGGGTGTTCTACTGTCGTTTACAAGGTGACCCGCGGTGGAGGGTACCCGGGATCTCCGTATTATTTCTTTTAAGTACACGTGAATCTACAAATATGTCCAAATACAGGCAGACCTCAATGTATTGAGATTCGCAGACACTGCGCTCCGACCGACGCGGAGGCAAGACCCGCCGCCAGCGCAAGGGCCCGCTCGCTGAAGGCTCGGCGGTGGTAAGCATTCTTTAGCAATAAAGTGTTTTCTAATTAAGGTACGTACATTGTTTCTTTGACATGTCTCTATTGCACACCATGGTGGAAACAACTTCTACGCGCGCTGGGAAACCGACAGATTTGTGTGACTCGCTTCGTTGCCATATTCGCTTTACTGCGGTCTGGGACAGCACCCGCTCTACCTCCGAGGTACGCCAGTTGAAAGATGAATTTGTAAGCATGTTAACGTCTTCAACAAACGAGGTGACAAGGTACCTCCATGAACCTTAAACTACAAGTTGGTGGCGACAAACACTGAGTCGCAAGATCTGCCTGGAATAAGTGTCGGCTCTGGAGGTGCAGAGGACAGCCAGGCACGCACCCATCTGAGGACGTGACAGCCGCCAGCCACCCAACAGGCCCACTGGAAACACCGCGAGGAAACTCAGTGGGGGTCTGCCCAATGCAAGGGCTGCTGCACATGGGACCCAGGAAGGTCAGAGGGTGTGAGTCTCACTGACAAGAAGTCTCTAAACTGACCACCAGTCACCTTCCCAAGGCAGGGTCCTACACTGAGGGAAAATTAGAGGTGGTAAAAGCAAGATTGAGCAACAGCTGATGTGGCTCAGTTGGTTGAGTGATGTCCTGTGCCCCAAAAGGTCACGAGTTTGGTTGCCAGTTTGATTCCGGTCAGGGCACATGGCCGGTAGGGGGCGTGCAGGAGGCAGCCAATCAATGTTTCACTCACATCGATGTTTTTATCTCTCTCTCCCTCTCTCTAAAAGTTAATTACTTTTAAAAAGTTAAAAGAAAATGGCTGAACCAGACAGGGACAAGGCACTAAAGGAAAAGAAGTTCAAAGTGACAGTGGAGGCTCTGGAACTCTCAGAAGACCACACTGTTGAGCACCAGGGAAACCACAAGGGGGGAGCTGTGTGAGGGCCTCTCCTGAGCTGGCCTCCTTCCAAAGTCCAGGACAAGGCCCCGCCTGTGGCTCAGGGGGTGAGTGTTGACCCATGCACCAAGAGACCAGAAATAGGGTATGTGTAAAAAATAAAAGGTATAAAATAATGACTGAAACAATAATAATAATTTTAGAAGGTAGTAATGCTAATTTAAATAAACTATAGAATAAGAAAGAGAAAAGAGAAAAAGAATTGAATTTTAAAAAACCCACATACCAAACTAACCACAACAACGACAGAAAAAAACACCCTTGGATCTGCTCTTTATGGAGATCACCGGATTTTGCTCTTATGTAGTTGGATCTGGACCCCTGGTGTGGGTCTCTGTCCTCTGGGGCAGTTGTCTGGTGCAGGCCAATGTGAATCTTTGTCCCTGCCTGGTCCTTGGCCTCCTGGCTGAAGCCCTGCAGGGCGCGGTCCCAGGTAGTCCTATGAGTCCTCCCCTAGCCCAGAGGCTGGGTCGCCTTTAGGGCTGGCCGCGCGTATGTATTTGTTCTGGCTGCTTTCTCTCCCCCCCCCCCCCCAGGCCCTGGGCTCTGCGGGGTATCAGGGCCAGTCAGGGTGGTTTACACAGATTGTCTTCAGGTGGTGCCTGTAGCTTATAGGAGGGGCAGGCAGTCTCTTCCTCTCCTTCCAGTGCCTCAGGTCTGCCTGGGTTGCTGGTGCCACGCCAAGCAGGTGAAAGCAGAAAAAGGGGGAAAGGGGTGGTAATGAAAAGAGAAAAAAGAAGAAGAAGAAGAAATGCTCTGCTTGGCTCTTCAATCTTTCAGCAAGGCCGGCTCACGATGGGTGGGGCTTCTGCCCAGGTGCCCACCCAGCCGAGGTCTGAATCCCCAGCACAGCAGGCACTGCCCTGGGTGCCCATCCGCACTGTTCCTCCTGGGGGGTGGGACACCTTCTCTTCTATAGCAGTGGGAGGAACAAGCCTCTTTTTCTAGGCACGACGTGGGCTCCCCTCTCCTTCTCTGTTGCTGTCTTTGGGCATCTCTGAGTGGGGCTGAGTTTCCTCTCTCCCAGGGGCAGGAGCTGCACGAGTTCACGTACAGGCTTCACAGTCTCCTCCCTTCTCCTCTCCATGGCCGCCTTGCTCACAGTATTTCTAGTCAGCCATTGTCAGGTGGTTTTACAAGTTCAATGCTCTATAGTTTAGCCTCTGGTCTGGTACTGTGTTTGGAGCAAGTACATGGAAATTCCTTAGGCTTCAGCCATCTTGCCTCCCAGTCCAGTAAAATAAACTCTGGACCTATCTTTTTCCTCAGTTTCTTTTGTTCATTAGATTCCACAAATAAGTCAGATCATGTGATACTTGTCTTTCTCTGACTGGCTTATTTCACTTTAGCATAATAATCTCCAGGTCCCTCCATGTCGTCTCAAAGGATAAGAGATCTTTCTTTCTTACAGCTGCATAGTACTCCATTGTGTACATGTACCACAGCTTTTTTATCCATTCGTCTACTGATGGGCACTTGGGCTGCTTCCAAATCTTAGCTATGTAAATAGTGCTGCTATGAAAGGAGGACAAGTTTATAAGTGAATAAAGAGAGAGAGATTTAAAGGATTCAAGAGAAAAATGGCAAATATATAAGATGTGCAAAATTTTTTAACATGTAAATGACAAGTCTCTGAGTAAGAAAACCCAAAGGAACACTAAAGACGATAACTCAGTAAAACATTCCTAAAATGTTGAACAACATAGTAAAAAGAGAATGTGGTTTGTTTGAGAAACTCAACTCTAACTACCAAAGCCAAGATATATTCTAGTAAAATTTCTGAACATTAAAGAAAAAGACAATATCACCACAGCATCCCAGCAAAAAGACTGACTTGATAATTAGATTATTGTCAGACATTCTTGCAGTTGTGGTTAATCCTCACCCAAAGATATTTTTACCATTGATCTTTTAGATGGAGTGGGAGGGAAAAAGGGAGAGAGAGAGAAACATCAATGTCAGAGAGACACATCAGTTAGTTGCCTCTCACATGAACCCAACCAGGGCTGGGGATCAAACCTGCAGCCTAGGTAGGTGCCCTTGACTGTGAATGGAACCCTCCACCCTCGAGTCCATGAACCAATGCTCTAACCACTGAGTCCAGGGCTCATGAGACGTTTTAATAGCAATGTTACGTGAAAACACAGTAACATATTAAGATACTGCAATAAAGCATGTAAGTGAAGGCGTGGTGGAATCAGAACACCCCATTCTGCACTCCCCATGAATCGAAGGACCCAGGCTCTGAGCACCGGTGTCCTAACATCGTGAAAACACAACCACAGCACCACCTGCGGACCTTCCAAAGGAGCCCAGCTCAGCCTGAGGCAGCCCCTGCGTCTAGGTGCTGACTTGCAGGAAGCGCAGAGGACGGGGGACGAGTAAAATCGCCCTGGCATCTGCACTCAGCAAAACCCAGACTATGGAAAACTCTGCGGTCAAATGGCACAGGCTTGTCAACATATTAATCGTTAGTGAAGGAAAGGGATGGAGGAGAGGCCTGTGGAGTGTAAGGGACACAAAAGACAGCTGGGCTGCACTGTCCGGGGGCTCATACTTGAGTGAATAGACTACACAGAAATACCCAGAAAGTGGTTTCTCAACAAGCAGGAGCTGGGATACGATTACCCTCCAGCAGAGAGTAGTGGGAACTAAAGGAAACGCGAGACAGGTGGCTTTTGACTGGCCTGCGGCCCACGGAGACCGCAGTGGCTGGCAACGTCTGCCTCTTGACCTGAGTGGTCATTAACGGAGATTTGTCTTAAGTGATTTATTAAATTATACGTTTGTGTTATCTGTATCTCAATTTTATTTTACATTTTTTAACAGTTTTCTGTTTTTGGGGGTTTTTTTAGGAGTGCAAATGAAAATGAGAATCTGAGCATTTGTCTTCTGAAGACTGCGGAGCCTGCCGCTGGACGAGGGGGAGGCGGGGACACTACTTAGGGGTTAGGGCTGCAGCACAGAGTGAACAGCCTGGGCTGGAAGGAGTCGGGGCTCAGGGGAATTTCTGGACACTGTCCTGAGAACAGGGACTCATGACATGTACCAGTAGGAACAAGAAGTGCAGAGGGTGAGAGATGCATGATCTCAGAACCCAGACTCTAGAATCAGGTCGGGGCTCTCCAAGGCCTCACGGACAGCGCCACCCGGTGCTACTTCGGGCTCCAGGGCGGAGCTTCAGCTGGGACCTTGTTGTGGGGCTGGTGAGAGAACAGCCCCTGAGACCTGCAGGGACAGTGATAAAAGTCTCACGTGGGAAGCCCCATCCCCACATTCCAGGGACTCAGCAGACGGTGCCACCCAACCAGAGCCCCCCTTGCATCTCATCCCATGACATCTCCCTGTCTGCCACCCAAAGACAAGGAGGAAGACATTACCTCGTCACCAGATGGCTGAGTCTCCGCACCCCCTGCAATGAAAGGGGAAGAGCCACACATCCATTAAGACTAACTGCCGCGATTACCCTGAGAGGCGGGGTCACCGGCATCTCTGCTCCCCCCACCCGGGCATGTCTCTGGCTTCAGAAGAGACTATTCCAGGAACACTGAGAAGTACAGTCAGCCTCCGCACCTCACACTGTCCACGTTGGGAAACGTGGGAAGTAGAGGAAACCACAGGACAGGGGGCAGGTCCCCCACCAGACTCACTACCTTTCCGAGCCCTGCAGTGAGTGGCGATCCCCACCAGGAGGAAGATTAGCCCGAGCAGGAAAGTTGCGGCTCCACGTAGCATCTTTCTCCAAGAATATTCAGGCGAGGCTCCTATGGGAAGCAGGTCCTTACGTCAGTGAAAACTCCCACTGTTTGGCGTACCTTCCTGAAATCCCAGAGCCTGTGCTGGGGAAAATCGGTTTGGAAATGGTTCCTCCACAGCAAGGCTTGAGCCATGGAGTTTCTGCTACTGACTCTTGCCGCCCATAAGAATGTCCTAGATACCAAGACAAAGCGTGAGAGGGTACCAGCTCCCAGCTCTGGGAGTAAGTGGGAGTGAAACCTGATTTCTTGGGAGACTAAGGAGAGATATCTGCTGTGCTTTCTCCCACTTTGACTCAGATCAGGGGAGACAGGATTGGTGTGTGACCAAGATGAATGAGGAGGCAACATAGGCTCCCACGAGTCGGTGTGACCCTGCGGGGGCCCGAGAGCAGGAGAAGCGGTTCTCACTCCACTCCACAGAGACGGGGCTCGGCAGGCTGGCGTGGTCAACCAGGCAGGTGTAGACGTCTCCCAGCTCAGGAGTCATTTCCAGCATCACCACTGTCTGGAAGGTCCAGTCTCCGTTGCTGATCAGGCCAGGGGACATGACCCCCGCTCTCTCCTCCTGCCCATTCCGGGACCAGCGGACTCTGATGTCCCCCGGGTAGAAGCCGGTCAGGGCACACAGCAGCACGTTGGGGTGCCCCAGCACTGGGGGCCGCTCTGGATACACCGTCACCTCTGGTTGCACTAGGAAGGGGGAGGAAACAGAGGCATGGAGGACCCCACAAAGCCAACATGGGAGTTTCTCTAGGGGCTCTCGCTGTCCCTGACCTCTCTCCCCCAGGAGGAGAGGGACATGTGAGGAAATCTGAGTGCCCCAGGCAGGACGTGGGCCTTGTCAGACACCCCGATCGCCCCGTGTTTGACAGCACACTGTCCTTAGAGTCCCTGAGAGCCTGGGGCCCCGGGGCCAAGATGACAGGGACCTGACCTGTGAGGACAGCGAGTGAGTGTGGTGGGGACAGGCCGTGTACACAGGCTGCCCTGCTCCTAGCCCAGGCATCCTGAAGCAGGAACTTGCCTGTGATCTGAAGAAGAGTGGTGGCCAGCTCACCTGGGGGAGACCGCTGATCCCCGTGGGCCTCACCTGCCGCTCACCTCTTCTCCCCACGGTGAAGGGTGCGCCCAGCGCGTAGTTGCGCCGGCAGAGCGCATCCACAGAAGCCCTGCTTCTCTCCAGGATGTCCGGCCGGCGGTTCCACAGCTCCACATCCGGCCGCCCCAGCTCCGTCAGGGCCACAAAGCCCCCCACGTCGCTGTCGAAACGTGCATACTCCTCCAGGTTATAGACGAATCTGACCACAAACCGCACCCGGTCGGTCCCGTTGGTGAAGTAACACTCAGCCTTCGCCTGGATCACGAAGTCTTCTGGAAAACCGAAAGAAAGACTATAAACCAACCCCACCTTCAGGAAACACACACCTGGGAAATTGTGCCAGATCGGACGATTTGAGAGGTGGCCCTGACCTCAGTAAACAGGCCCTGGGCCCCACCCTGGTTCTCCACCATCGGGAGAAGCCTGCGGCCCATCCTACCAGGCCAGCCACATAGGAGACATGTAATCTATTAACCCAAAGAAACAAACCAAAGAAAGTCCCGCAAGAATGAAAATTCATCCAGCAAATATTCATTCATTCATTTGACAAATTGTGTTGACTGCTTTGCCAGACACAGGGCTAAGTCTCTCCAAACCAGGTTTGCGGAAGCCCCGGGCTTGAACTCCCTTTATTATCAAGTCAGAAGGTCCCTCCCTACATGGAATCGTTCAGCAACAGCCTTGCCTGTATGTAGCTGGTTCATTCTACACCCCTCCCCCGCACACACACACACCCGTGTAAAGTGCAGGAGTGACCGAGGTGGGCAAAGCACTGCGGGACAGGCACATCGTGGGTGTGAAGTGACCTCCCCTTCTACCTCCATTCACGATGGGTTTTCTCCAAGAATTTTCTCCTGGGCCTTTTCCTTTGTACTCTTATTCAGAGATCTCGTCTCCTCTGTTGGCTCTAGTGAGACCATGACCTACCTCATGACCTCTACTAATGTTGGATGAAATGTCATTAATCATGACTTGAAGATGCCTCATCATCTCATCATCATCATCATCATCATCATCACTGGCACAATGCCTACATACAATCTAGTAGTTGCAATAACTTGGTAATGGGGATATAAGGTTAGCTTAAACCTTCTTTGGGGCCCTGGCCGGTTTGGCTCAGCGGGTAGAGCGTCGGCCTGCGGTCCAGAAAGACCCAAGGTTTTGTTCCCCCTAAGGGCACGTACCTCGGTTGCAGTTTGTCCCCGGCCCTAGTTGGGTCGTGTGGGTGGCAACCACTCGATGTGTCCCTTTCACATCGATGTTTCTCTCTCTCTCTCTCTCTCTCTCTCTCCCACTCTATCTGAACAAAATATGGAAAAATGTCCTCAGGTGAGGATAAAAAAAAAGAAACCTTCTTTGGGGGATTTTATATTAAACACTGCTATTTCAGATGGAATTTAAAAATCCAGTTCCATTTTCCATTCTGATTTTCTACTTTCAAAGTACCTTTCTAATATTGATAGTGATAAATTTGAGCCATGTATTAATTTTAGTTCCTCATTTCTAACCTGCTCATGTTCTTCAAAGTAATTTAATTTTCCAAAGCTATTTAATCAGTCCTCATAGGTTTAAAAAAAAAAAAAAAAAAAAAAAAAAAAGGTGTCTTATGTGTAGAGCATACAGTGTGCTATGTTCTGAATGTTATATCCCCCCAAAATTCATATGCTAAAATCCTAACCCTCACAAGGTGACGGTATCATCAGGTGGGGCCTTTGGGGTGCTTCAGGTCGTGAGGGTGGAGCCCTGGTGGACGGGCCCAGAGGCACCCCCGTGCCTTCGCCTGCTGGGCTGGGAAGCAGACCTCCACCAGGACACCACCACGCGGCTCCTTGGCCTCGGGCTTCCCAGCCTCCGAATCCTGAGAAAGAAATTGCTGTTGTTTGTAAGTCACCCAGTCTGCAACATTTCATTATAGCAGCTCTGACAGACTAAGGCAGTGATATTTGTCTTAGGTTTGAAGAACTGGAAAAGTTTAACCGACAGTCTGGTAAATAGCTCTGGGATAGGCCTCAGTTGATCTGAGTTCTTTCTAAATCCAGTAGTTTTGCAAAGAAACAGACACCCTCTGGGACCTGCTTCCCCCCTGGTAGAGGTGGTTTGGGTTCATGCCCAGCAACTCAGGTAGCGCTCAAAGCATAGTAGGTGAGAAAAGGAATAAAATGTGATTCAATGAACAATGACATTTATTAAAATTTTTAAATACACACAGGAAAAACAATGCTACATATTTGTAAAGCCACCCTCATACGTAAGACATGCCAGAGCCATGAGAAGAGACATCGGTGGAAGAGAGGAACCGAGAAGGGAGGAAGGGAGGAGGGCAGAGTCCTTGTCCTGACCGGGCTGCACGGTGCTGTGAAGGAGGGGCAGCTGCAGTACTTCCTACAGTAAAGATACATCCAAAAAGGAATAATAACAAATAAATAAATAATTTAAATTTAAAAAAAAGAGTAACTCCATTCTATGCGCTTGAGAACAATAATAAAAGGAAGCTCAGGTGGGTGAACAGCGCCAGTTGGCAGAACAGATCCCCCGAGGAAATGGCATTGAAGCTGAGACTTGGAAGACAGTTGAGAACTTGCTCTGGTCCCTGGGTTCCGAGGCTGCAGCAAGCACTGGGCGAGCTGCCCGGGTGGCGGCGCCCCTCCCTCCCGGGCAGCCGCTCACCCCTCCTCGCGCTGTTGTCTCGGGTTCTAACCTCCCTTCTCTATTCCCCCTGTGGTCAAACAGAAAATAAAAAACAAAACTTTTTTGCTTTTATTTAGATCTGGTTCAGATTTAAGATCTGGACTGAATTTCTTTTCATGTGTGCTGTTTAACGAACATTATAAGTTCAAAGAGGTTTCTATTGTCTAAAAACAACGATCTCCCACCCACCCCCAGGTTTGTTCCTCTTTCGTAGTTCATGAGACTTGGACCTGCAAAGGGGCTTTGTTTTTAGCACATTGCATCCTGTTTTCTGCTGGTAAATGTTTTCATGGTGCACTACGTCTTCAGGTTTGCGTAGCCTGTCCCCTCAGCTAGAAAAACAGCAGCAATAAGTACACGAGCCCTGTAAGCCAAGCTCAGGGATACTGCATTCAACCTCTCTTGTTTCTCAAAACTGCCTGATACAATTCTAACCATATAATATGGCCTTAATAAATGCCAGAAGAAGCAACTTTGTCTCCGGTTTCTCTTGTCCGTATGTTTGGACAGATACAGAAACAGTCACAGGCTTGGAGGATGGCAGCTTTCCTCAGACTGCTCCTGGCCGACAGTGATGCGATACAAACGAAAGCCAGACAGTTTCCCGTCCTCCTGCCTCCCACTCCTCCACTCTGTGACTCTGGTACAGGAAGTCCCCTTCCCGGTACTCCCTTGTGTGTGGTAAAGAGGAAAGAAATACTTCCCTGTCAAAGGGAGGAACTCTCTTTAAAGCCAGAAGCCACCTCCAGTCTTGTCTGCGGCCTGGGCCTGTAGGGGAAGGCGCCCCTGCCCCACGCCAATTCTTGCACACACCTGGGAAGGATCACCTGTTCTTACCTGGAGAGTCTCTGCCTTGAGTCACAGAGGAATCCAGCCCGATTAGATTCACTAGCAGAGCTGCCACCCAGGGAACCCACCCAGAACCCATCCTGCAAGGGAAGAACGGGGCAGGAAAAGCATCAGCCTCTTCAGAATGGGGCTTGCCCTTAAAAATTACTCACCCAGTGTATACCTTTCTGGCCTCCCCAGCAATGGAAACTCCCCACATTGGTAACCAATCAAGACAGAGAAGTTTTGCATCATTAGGTGCTGGGTAGAATACTTTTGGAAAGTTGTGTTATACCCATCAGGAACTTTATCTCTGCGAAATCACTGACAGCAGCTCAGGTATGTGGGAAATGGGCTGGGAGAAAAAGAAAAGGTATTCTACATAGTAGGTGGTCCTGGAAGAACTGGGCAGATTGTTTATCATGTATCCTGATGTCCTCGTTTAGCACTGTCCCTGTCCCGTCTCCCTTCCTACAGGGTGGTTGACACTGTTAATGAGACAGAAAGCAGACAGCATTCTGAAGCATATGCCTTAAGAGTAGTTCGTGAAGGGATTATCAGAGAAGAAAGAGAAAGGATTGGGAATAACCTAGAGAATATGGCTTCCTGTAAACCAAACAGGGCCACACAAGGGTGGGGGAGACACAAAGAGAGGATTCTCAAGAGAATAAAATGCTGCAGAAATGTTCAAGAGGATAAACATAAGAAAGCGTTTTATTGTGTCTTGTGACTGGTGGTACACCATAACCTTCATGGGACATGGAGTGTTGAAGGTCGAAGATGTACTTCAGAAACTGGACATGAGGAAATGAAGGCAGCAGATGTCAACAGTCCTTCAATTTTGGGAAATGAAAATAGAGAAAAAGGTGAGACTCTTGCTTGAGAAAAAAGTGACAACAAGATAAAATGACTTTTAAGATAGGAAAGACCTTAACAGTTTTCTGAAGCAAGTACAAGATATCTGTAGACAGGAGAGGTTGAAGATAAAAGGGAAAGAAAGAAATTTCCCCCAAAATGCTGAACGGAATCCAAGGATGAAAGAGATTGCCAGTCTTGACAACAAGAAGGGATGCTTCTTCAGATACAAGGATGAAGACAGGAAGATTTGGGATGAAAAAGAGGGAAATAAGGAGGCTCCAGCTGTATGACTTCAGTGAACTCAGTTTGGAATAAGGCAGGTCTTCTGCTACAATAAATGCATTTGGTAACTGAGGAGAGGCAGACTCCTTCCTCGCCAGGGTGGTGTGTGAGCGCGTGATCATGCCGTTAGCACAGAGCTGCCCGTACTCAGCACTGGGCTGGCCAGTGGGGAACAGACAATCTCTTGCCCTGCAGGAGTGGATAACCCAGGCGCAGTGACGGGGAAACAATCCACTGTGATGTCAGGAAGAATGAAGCTAACTTTGTGAAGTTTGAGCACGTAAAGAGAGTATTTCTAACTTACTCTAGAAAGAGTTTGTGATGAAGTTGATATTTGATACAATTGGCCTAACAAACAGAATTTTAGAATTCAAACTATTCCATGCATGTGGACAACAGAGAGATAAACAGTGAAACAAAAAAAAATTTATCTGGAATCCCTTAAAAATTACTTTTTTGGATACTTTTTAATTGAAGTTACTGTGGTGATATTGGTTAATAAAGGTTTCAGGTGTGCAGTTCTATAACACATCATCTGCATATTGTATTGTGTATTCACCACCCCAAATTAAAATTACTTATTATCCACAATAAATAAATAGATGCACGCCACTTCATTGAATGGGAGAAAATACAATAGAATTTTCTTCACCTCCCTAACGGAACACAGGCTTTGATGGGTATGTAAAGTGGGGTTATGGTGGCAGCTGCCCCGGAGACCCAGGAATATTGAGGTACGCCTTACCTGGCATGCCCTCAGGAAAGCTTCACCCATAAACAGTGATAGCAAATTGTAAATCAAAGGTTTACTCTATTATTCGCGGGTCAAATCCCCGACACCCCAACAGAGTTTTATGATAAGCCTCTCTGAAGCCTGAGACCCCAAGCAAGGTCTCCTGTTCCCTCTTGAACCCACTGTGCCACCAGCCACTGTGAATCCTGAAGGGTTAGAGTGTCTGAGCAGATGACAGTCACAAAGGGACTCTGACAAGGTGGCAGAAAGGGTTCAGAAGAGAAGTGAAATGCAGCTATGGAGCATGTTAACGTACTGTGACCCCCACTCTCGCTGAGCATGCCCTGCCCTGGAATCTGGCCCATTGGAATAAGTTCTCCCCTTGAAGATCATGAAAGAATAAAGAAAAAGATGGGGAAGTGTTCATCAGCTTCCCCTACTTCCTAGGCCCATGGGAAACGATACCTCCCAGCCTCCAGGACTGTGTGACTAGTTCTAGCCAATGGTTAGTGAACAAAACGTTTTTGTCAAAAAATGTAACTACTGCCCTGGCCGGTTGCTCAGTGGTTAGAGCATCGGCCCACAGACCAGTGAGTTCCGGGTTCGGTTCCCACTAAGGGTGTGTACCTTGGTTGCAGTTTGTCCCCAGCCCTGGTTGGGGTTGTGTGGGTGGCAGCCACTTAATGTGTCTCTCTCACGTTGATGTTTCTGACTCTCTCCCTCTGGCTAAAATAAAAAATGTAACTACCATTGCATGATTCTTTCTCTCTTCCTGTCCCAATTCAACCAAGACAGCTTGGTGTTGAAATGTGGAATCAGAATATAGAAACAGTGTAATTAGCTGCAGCATCATGGGGCACCACCCGCGCCCACCACGCGTGCTGTAGGGATGGGAGGTCACTTGGGTTTCATCAGGGCGCTGGGGGTTGCTGGTTACCACAGCCTGGCCTAACGACCTAACTCATGCAGGACAGTACGGAACACTGACCCCCTTCACCACCTCCCTCAGGTAGATTTCAGTGATCACGAATGACGTCTGACCACAGGCCAGAAAATCATAGACACCATGCAGAGCAGATGACCGTGACTGAGTCCTTCCAGAGCGGGTGGCTGGCCGCTCCCCGGGGGGAGGGAGTGTGTGAAGCGGAGTAAAAAGGGGGCAGACAGGAGCTCAAGGCACTGTGTTCACTTCCTCTCCTTCTTACACACTCGCACTTTAGTCTTTCCCACGTGTCTTCGCTCATTTGGCAGTGGAGAGAAGCATTTGACTGGACGCGGAGTGGATAAGATGATCAGAAGCAGTAAAAGCCTGGGAGGGCACGAGAGGCACGGAATCGAAACCTTATCTCTCCCCTGCAGGAGAAGCACCCTGGCTGGCGTCCGCACTGCTCGCAGGAACAGAAGGGAGGCCGGGAGGGTAGAGATTGGAGGGAGGCTTGAATTTGGATTTAGAGGGAAGAGAAGGCGTTGTCAGATGCCTTGGGGGTGAGGGGGCAGAGTGGAGGACATGGATGCTGGTTCAGACAGTAACTGCTCTTTCTTCCTTCTGGGGTGAATGTTTCCAAGGCCCATCGACACTAAGTTTGGACTTGCCTACATTGTAATAAGAAGAACCAATATTTGTTAATTGCTCATAATGAGTCGGTTTTCTAAGCACTATATGAATGTGTCGGTGTGGGGGGGGAGAAGGACAGAGAGGAAGAGAGAATCATCACAACAACCGTTCGCAGCAGATACTGTTACGATCCCCATTTTATAGATGAAGTAATGAAAGAATGAAGCAAGGGTCACATAACTAGTACGTCCACAGGCCATGCTCGTTCCATTGCACTGTATTTCTTACTTGGGAACCCGGGAAAGCTTTATTCTAAACCTCAGCATCTCTGCAAAGATAAGATGCACACGGGGACAACATAACTGAAGAATTTTATTATAAGCATTTGGTGTTAGGACAGAGCTCCATCATACCCTGTCTCACAAAAGGAAGCCGATGGTCTCGGGCATCCCCGGCAGGGAGAGGCGCAGCGTGTCTGCAGGCACTAAGCAGAGAAAGCAATGCCGCCTGTGAGTTCCTCTTGCCATGGCCCCTGAGTCATCTCGCATACACCGCAGTACCTGATCCGTGCAGTCGGAAGCTTTGTGGAGTCATTTTCCACACTTGGTGTCTGTGTCTACAGGGGAAGGGCCTGGGCTCCTGGCTCAGCAGAGAGACTGTCCAGTTCCGGGAGACAGCTGACAAAGGGAGAGGCTGCGGCCTGGTTCCCTGCTCCCACATTTTTGTGTTCGTGTTCTATTTGTATGAGCTTGAAAATAAGGGGAGGCATTTTTCTCTTTTATCCAGCCTGACCTGAGCCCAGAGTCCTACCTAACACAGACATGATCTCCTGTGCTGTTTCGCCCCAGTTCGTATTTTGCATTTCTCTTCCTCTTTCTCTCCCATTCTCTAGAGAAAGAAATTGGGTGTGATGTATGTGGTTGCTTCTCGACAGTGGTGACAAACGATTCTCCCCATTACCTGACACAATTACCTTCATTTGCTATTTTGGTGACTTTAAATTTGAAATGAACTGTTCATTTAAATTCATGTTCCTCTTTCTACACCTTCCTACCACCAGAAACATAAGCTAACTTGGAGAAGTTAGAAAAATATTCTGAGATACTAGACAAGAAATTAAAACATATTTTTAGAGAACGCTTTGTGTTGAGCTAGTTTAATTGAAGGGATTGTACTAGGCTAAGAACACTGCCAGCTCAAAACACGTAACTACAAAATTTCTGTGGGGATTGTCGTCCCAAACCACAGGAAGCCGCCACGTGGGGAAGGTAAGAAGGAAGAATGTAAGAAATGACAGAAACAGGTGGAATTTAGGGTGTCCACAGCAAACTCACGATCTCACTCAGAGAATCCATTTGGGAACCGAGGAACTAATGGTTCTGGGTTCTAATCAGCAATCACTCCTTTGATATGAAGTCTGAATAATGGATTCACCTACGTACTGATTAGTGTGTATTACAGGACACCATTCTCCTACGATGTTTTGTCTATCACTTCTCCCTGGGAACGTGAACGTTCTGCTAATTTGTTCATTGAAGTCATTGTTCCTAGGAAATAGCCACTTAAATTATAATATTATGAACTTCAGAAAGGTTTTCTAGAACTAACCCAACTTGGTTCTGATGTTGTTTTTGGGGTTTTTTGTTGTTGTTTTTTTATCTGTGCTAGATTCTATTTGCAATATTTTTAGCACTTTTACATCAATATTAATAAGTAAA